TCAATATGCTTAGAAAATTTCAACTCATTGTCGATATTAACTCCTAAATCCTTTTCCGTTGTCGACTTCGACATCATCACTCTGTCGTTGCAACCGTGTCTTCTCATACTGTAATCTTGCTGTTCATTATTCTTGCCAAGGTGAATAACTTTACATTTGTCAGCGTTTAAGCGCAGCTGCCACTTATCAGCCCAGTCCACCAGCCTGTCAAGATCACCTTGCAACTGTACTTTTTGCGGCGTATTCTTCACTGTATTATAAATTTTTGTGTCGTCAGCATATATCGAGCAAACGCTAGACCCAGCTTCTGGCAGATCGTTTATAAACGCAACGAATAGAATAGGCCCGAGAACGCTTCCTTGTAGCACGCCGCTGCGCACCGAAGCCCAGTCTGATACGGACCCATTAATACTGACACGTTGTCGCCTCCCTACTAGAAAATCTCTGATCCTTTTGAGTACATTACTCTCAATTCCCAAAGGCTTCAATTTACGCAACAGCCGCTCATGTGAGACACTGTCAAATGCCTTGGAAAAGGACTTATCGAAAAGGACTTATCGAAAAGGACTGCGCGCAACAACAAACTGTTGCGCAAACGGCATGAGAATATCCAGACAATATCGTTGTTTGACAAAGTACGTATATTCTATAAATTTGTTTTTAGTCGAAGAAAGATTAAGATTTTTCTTGTAAACCGGGATATGAGAATTCCTACACTGAAGAAAATTGCTTTCTGAAATTCTTGCAAAAAAAGTATTGCTACTAGAACTTGAAACAAGAACCAGGGGCCACGGCTATAAACTAAAAAAATATAACTCTGTACTCACTGCAGTGAGTGACAGAGAGCGCATTTTCTCGTCGACGAAAACTTGAGGTCACGGACGGACGGACAGACGGACAGACGAACGGCTGTCTCTTATACACATCTTGCTAATCTACAATTTACGGCAAGAACTATAACACCTGGACAAGTATCTGAAAATTCTTTCATGAAAAAGCCTGCATCGTTGATGCACGGTTCTAACGTTTTTATATATAAAAAAAAAAACTTCCCTGCAGCACCTGAATCAGACAATAAGCCGAACAGACGACCAAATAAACGCTTGTCTATCACACTCACCGACTTCCTGCGGCATTGTAAAGACCGGCGTCACGTGACGTGAACGCCTCTATACGGCCGCGGTGAAATGCTTGACCGTGATGGCCGAACAATGAGGAATGCGTGACGAAACGATGAAAAATGTGCATGGAGGATATCCACCTTAAAACCTGAGATTTGCTTCCTCATTAATTCATTTATAGACAGACAACTTTTCGTCTTCCGGTATAAAAAAATTATTATTTGACCGCCCACTTGGATGAACATGTAGGAGAACATTACTCAGAGAACGGGGCCTGTACTTTCAAAAAAAAAGTTAAGAGATCGTAAATTCATGAGCCAATCATTGACGGCCTTTCAAGCAAAATCCACCAATCATAGATAAGAAAATAGAGCGTAAGTACTTACGTTCATTTAGCGAGTTTTGATAGTTATGGCCCCGGAGCTTTGTCTTTTAGGTAGATCTTCAATATGCGATAAGCAAGATTGGNTGTTGCACGGCTCTGCCATGATGCACGGCTCTGTCATGATGCACGGCTCTGCCATGATGCACGGCTCTGCCGTGTTGTACCGCTCAGCCGTGTTGCATGGCTCTGCCGTGTTACAAGCCTCTGCCATGTCCCAGGGCTGTTCTTTTTAACAGGATTGCTGCACATGCTGCAGTTTCCTGCCATGGGGCTGCATGGGCGAGTCTCCAAAGCTCCCATTAAACAGCAACTAGAAGAAGAAGACGATAAGACTCGGTCCAAGTCGTTCTTTGTAGACGTGGCGTTATTAGAGATTGTCTTATTCGGAGCGAGATCGGTATCTACCTGAATATGGATACACGAGGGGAAGGTCTCACAAGTTGCTCGCCCTTTCATCATACCAAACTAAGCCGGATTCTGAGATCATTACTTGAACAGCCGTTGAGGTTCAAAACGGACAAGTTCATGTCAGAGTTTCATGCCTAGCTAACTGGCTTTCTATCGCCTTACTTTATCATCAAGTTATTCTACCACATTAAAAGTAAAATGTTCTCAGTTAAAATACAAGAAAATTTGTTAATATAAATTTAATACATGGATGATGACGGTTACATCAGATTCGTTTTTTATCCACGTAATTTTCTGGCTGCCAGTGAGCTTGGAACGCCACGCTGCAGTTCATCGCATCGCAAGATCGCAGCTGGATTTCCAGTCGAGCTTTGAATGTCACAGTGTGTGGTTGTGCGTGTTTGAGTCGGACGTTGCTGTAGCGTCGTCTGCTCCAACAAGTTTATATAAAAGAAGCTCCTTTGATCGCTCGCCTAAATTAGAAGTGTCAACGATTCTGCTACACTTGCCAGCGCAGTTTCCTCTTAAAAAGGTATTATTTTTTTTAATATGTTGGTGTTGTAGAAATTTAAGCTTAGTCTGTCTCGGTCTATGCATTTGACAAGGTTAATTAGGTATACGCTGCCGGTTGCCAAAACCGGCTTTAATTTTTCTCCAATTATTAATAATGAAATTAATTATACTACTAAAAGAAAAGTGCTAGTGTATTTTGAAGGAATTGAACTTAATACAGTTAATATACATATTAAACCTATTTATTTCGTAATTAGCGAATTCCTTTGCACTCTCTACTCTGGAGTCTAATCGCCATGATTTTTTGAGAAAGGTCGAAAGTAAAATTATTTCTTTATTTTTATATTATTTGATCGAGTGACATTGCACTCCGTAGTAATTCTTCAAAGAAGATTAATAGCTTGTTAAAAGTTTGTTGAATGTTAGTTCTGTAATTCATGTAAGCCTTGTAGGGAGCCTGTAACGCAGTGGTGGCTTCATTTCCTTCAATAAGAACGTTTTGACGGCCCGTATTCAAGTTGAATGTTGTTACATGGCTTGCAAAATCTATTGATTGTGGACATTGATAAAGAATGCTAATTTATTAATAGGAAGCAGTCCATGGTTAATGGTCATGT